CCCTCAAACAGTAAATACGCGTATTTTATTCCTACGTATTTTCTTTTAAAAAAAACATGTATTTTATATATATATATATAATTTCTATTTTTAAATTTTCTTAAATTTACATATGAAATTTATATATGTTTTTAGAGTAATCGGTATTTTGTTGAAAAGATCAAACAGGTTTTACAATCCTCAAAAAGAGGTCAACGGACTCCTACGACCAATTCGTAGCACTTATAATAGGCAAAGCGTATCTATAATCTAGTAATCCGACAAATTGTCACATTAACCTTATGTTCGATACAAGAATAATCACTCATCTAATGCTTATCAAAGTGAAGTAATGAAAAATATGATAGAAGAATTGCATTCGCTATATTGATTCTACAACTTGTAGAATTTGCTTTAGAATTTTTCACTTGTGATCAACTCTCTCACACTGATGCTTCTTTTTATAAGTGAGATACGTCAACACATTCCTTCTTATCAATAACGAAGCAAACCTAATAAACAAGTGAATCTTTTGTATGTTTTGAAAAGTGTATTATACTCATATAGTACAATTCAAAACCAAGATAACCAACAATAATTAGTTGGACTGTCTAAGATTGTATTGTATTTGTATTTGGTAATGAAGTTATTTGTCAAATTTTGTCAAACCTCACCCGCGCTAATGTCAAAATATTAACAAAAGCATAGCATGTTATTGACTAAAATATTATAATTTGCATGACTTCTCTTCAAGAGTTTTTTGATCTCAATATAAGTTATATATATATATATATTGTTGTATTTCTATCTTATACACTCATAAATCAAATTTTCTTAAATTTTTCGCAATCGGTATTTTCGGTTAAAATTTGTTACTGTATTTTAAAAAATTACCAAGTTATATACTTTAGGTATTTCTGGTTCCATATATAGTAACTATGCTCTCACATCAGACCCCTCAGTAACATTGTATTTGCTCCCTCCCTCCTTCATAACATTTCACCTCCTTTCTACCCCAAAAAAAAAAAAAAAAAAAAAAACGCGCATTTGACTTCCTCCCCAGAAAAATGTGAAGCCTATCAAGCATAATCCCCTTATCCATGATTTGGCATGAAATGACAAGGGAAATCAACTAAACCAACAGATAAAGAGCTCACAGATATTTTATAATTATCAGTAAATATAGAAATAACCAAATCATGTTCACACGAGCCACAGGCGCATGTGGTGGCACTTTAACATATCTGTGAAGCTTTTGTTACGGATGCAATTTTAAATGAGGTAAAATGTATGCGCAACTTGGCCATATGCCCATACTTTAGCTACTTTCTTTTTGGGTAAAATGCATCTTTGGTGATTGTGTGTTTTGTATCAATTTCAGTTTTGGTTTAGATCTCAACAATTTGTTTGTTTTTGGAAAGAAAAGATTTTTTTTTTAATATTAACTTTTCGTGTTTATTTAATAGAGAAATCGAGTCTCGAATAATTTTTAGAGTTTTAACTCCACATTAGAATTTTTTGATTTATTGTTTGAAATTGAGATTCAAGGCTATAAACATGATTTTCTTGAGTAATATTCGCGAGTTTAAACAAGTTTTTGGTTGTGATTTGAAGTTAATTAGAATTGTACTAACAAAACGAAACACTGGCGGCATTGACAAAAAATATAAAAGTGACCAGAATTTAATTCGAGGCAAAATAAATTACCAAAAATGCATTTGAACTTTTTTATTTGGTATTATGAAAATATCTGCCTCAAATCTAATTAAAAATATATATAATCATAAAAAGATTGACCTAGCTTTTTGCTTTAAAAAAAAGTCTCAACTTTGCAAAAGAGTTCATCGCCAATAAAGTGCCATATGGGCGCAAAACCAAAAGGCAAATAGGTAATCATTTGCCTACTGCCCTATATTTTATTCATAAGATTCATATTAAACTCTAAAACAGTGGCATATTTTCAGGAAATAATAGAAACAAGCCAATTGATAATTTTGCTGAAGTAATCAGAGAAGAAATATATTATTGATTATTTTATATTTAACACAAAACAAAAGTATATATGTCCACTTCCAACACTTGACATTTCAATAAAGCAAATAGATTATTGTTGTCTTTGTTCGTGTGCTTGAAGCAAACTCCAATGATTGGGTAGGGAGCAATGGGGCGGGTAGAGGTCGCGTATGACAATACCATTCCTGTCCCCGCTCTCCATCCCCTCCCCGTCTTCAAATCCATCTCCGTTTAATAGGTTTCGGGGAATCTCAGTCCCTATTCCCGTCGAGGAACTATCCCCCATACTCACCCTAAATTCCCCTTTTTTTTTTTGCATAAAAAATATTTATCATGCATTTTATCATTAAGTTTTATATTAAATTATCATTCAACACATCCAAATTAACTATAAAGTTCAACTCGACTATTCAAAATCACATCAATATGAAATTTCAGAAAAGATTAGAAAGAATTAGGAGAGGGAGGTGAACTTAGGATTAAACATAAATATTATAATTATATATTTATTTATTTAAATATAAACATATATATTTTCGGGTCAGGTTCGGGGATGAGGACACCAATACCATCATATGGGCTCAGTTAAGTTGGCTAAAGCAAATATACTCTCCACTTTGCACCTGAGTTCGAATTCACCTCCCTGTAATTTAGGTTAGATTAAAATAAAATATCACTTATATAAAAAATATAAAAAATAAAAAAAACCCAAAAAACTCCAATGATTCAACAAGCTCAACTCATTGATTTTGAAGGTTTTTAGGAACCCAAATTTGAAGAACAGAGCTGGTTGGTTTGACCCAAGACATGAAACATGGACGGCCAGCTAGGGTTGATGGACAAAATGAATAGACATTTGTTTGGTCAAGACTTCGAAATAATGGTGCTATCTAACTAAAATTAAAGTGTGTGTATGTAAAGTAATAGGTTCATGAATTTCAAAATTGTGTGGAAGACGAGTCTTTGGGGTCACATAATAATCAAATCATTGAATGGTTTCATTTCTTGATGAACAAGTTATAGGATATGTTGTAGTCAAAAAGATCCAAAGACAAGTTCGTTTAGGTATGCCGACAGAATCTTATAGAGGGCATTTTTCAAGCATAGCAACATTCCCTTCTATATTTTCTTTTTTTTTTTTCTTCTTCTTTGTTAAGGTTTTGAATTGGACTTTGGAGATGGAAGTTGATGGTAATTAATCTAACTTGACGGCGTGCCGAAAAACAGTAATGATGTTGTCATGTTGATCAATTATTTACCCCAGAGCATAAATAAAACTATTATTGGGAATTTAATACTTTTTTCTCACAGCATGGAAAATCATTTATAAGGCATTTGCTTCTTTACAACTTATCATTGTTGTAAACTTAAGATACCAATTTAATGCAAGGGTATTATTGAAAAATTGAGCAACTTTTGATTCTTATTACTACGTAACGTAAATCAAATATGAAAAATGAGAAAAGTGATATTTCATACATACCATTTTTCAGCGTTTTCAAACACTGGAATAGGTACATTCTCATCTTCCAAAAACAAGCATGAAAGTTTCATTCATGACATGGGAGTTGAGAATGAAAAATGTTCGTTCCAATGTTTGGAAACTGGTATGCATGAAATATCAGAAGTTACACATCCAATAAGGTGTGATTGTGAAAGTTTTCTCTTTATCTACAAGCGGCAATTCAAAAGGTCTCCTAATAAGAATATGAAAAAGAACTGGAGAGCCGTCCTACTTATATAGCTTGGGGCCATAATCATATTTTACATATATCAAATTAAACTTTTAGAAGCCCACTAGACCTAGAGAACCAAAGTGGCATAGCTGAATTCCCAACAATATTTTGACCATTTCGATATCGCCGCAAAGTTAGATTGTTCCAAAGTTGGTCATATAATTATTCTATTCTAATATATTATCGAGAGACGAAAAAACATGAAAAATAAAGTCGAATCAAAGAGAATACTCAATTGCTTTGTTATCCTTGCCACAATCCGTGAATGTCCATCTCCCAGTCTCAAAGTCCTAAGGGTCCCGTTTGGATGGAAGTATTGGGAAGAAAAAAAAAAGGATTTGACAATAAAGCTAAATTTGCTAAAGAAAATATGAAATTATTATATGCAACACGTCATTTGGAATTCGTTTGTTTTGTTTCATTTTATTTATTTATTCAAATCTTGACATACATGAAGTGCAAGAAGCCGAATAAATAATTCGAGCTTATAATCTCATCTAAATCCCTAGATTTGGAATGCCTGATAAGAAGGAAGTGCCATTGCGAAGCACAAGCACAGATGTTTCTGGGAATGTTTGAATGTTTTTCCAATTAGATGCCTCTAATTTTATATTTTTCTTTGTTTGTTAAACCGCGCGGGCCAAGCCCAACAAAACAAGAAATTAGCAAACAATGTCAAGAGCCAAGGCTCGGCTTAATGTATCATCCTCCAAAATACGCAGTCGAAGCACACAGATGACAGATGCCCCAAATTTGCCATATGACACACAAGTTTAAAACAGCTTTGACAATCGCTACTTGTTTTATTATTATTATTATTATTATTATTATTATTTTATTTTTTTGTTACATTGGAGTTCGAACCGTGTTTGAACTGGGGTGCCATGGGGAAGAGGAAAGCTACCACCACTGTGGAGAAGCTACCACCCTGTGGTGGGAACCCATTGGCAATTTTTTTCAGTCGGGCATCTGCAATAAAATTTTGCTTTCAATTAAGGAGAAAATGAAAAGGCAATTAATTTAGACAGAAATGTCATGTAAAGCACACGCCAGACAGTAAATCAAGGGTAAATTGTAATTTTACCCCAACTTTAGAAATTGACATTTTCAAAGTGAAAACGTAATATGCTTTGATTATAAATGAAATCCAATCCAACTACAGAGTCCTAACGGAAAGTAGATTTAACTTAAAAAGTATTACCATTCTTGGCATTACATCCCTCAAGCAAATGATAGTAGTACATTACATATATGAACAGGAAAGCTGTGGTCAAGGGGCATAAAGATCGGAGCATGATTTATCATAGTAAAAGGAATGATAAACAGGAACTGAAAATGAAAAGCACATTAATCTCAATAAAGAAAATGAAATCATCTTACAAGCGCTCTGTTAATCTCAAGATTAAAATTCAAAGACAGATTTGCTCTGCTAATACGCCAATTTGCACTTTAAACATTTCCAATGGTAGATCACCCGTAGTACTTTCTGAGCTACTGCATTTTACCTCACTTTTTACAGCCAATCCATTCACCAATGGAGTCATGAGGCATCACAAAAATCCGAGGCTGGTCAATACAAGATCTCATCACAAGTTTAGCCGTTTGCATTGTGGTTACGGCTTGTGGAGCTTGAAGCCAAAAACTCTTGGAACATAACTCTGCGTCGCCTTTTGTGGCTTAAGGTGCCCATATGTCATTAAGAATAGGTGTGGAAATGTGGTTCCAAAATAAGCCCCATCAATATCTTCAAATGTCAAGGAATTGGAATATAAAATCAGAATGCCAAACAAAACTAGAATATGGGAAAAAAAAGTAATGCATTTATGACCACCAATAGATATTCAAATGTCTGCAAACCCAGTGGTTAAATTTCCCCATATCCCATTCAATGATCAAACAAAATCAAATTTTGAATTCCTTGATCCTGATATTGGGCTTGCAAATGAAAGGTCTATTCTTGATCAGCTTAGGCACAGTTCCATACAAGACATCTTTCTTTTTTTTGAAGAGAAACGATACCCATACAAGACATCATCATACCACAGCCCAGCCTAATCTTGAAGTCCTGATTGCTACAGTCACACTAATCCTCATGCCAACGGCAACACCAGAATCTAACTGCTGAAAATTTCTAAGACTATGAGGGCAACATCCTAGACTCTGTCAAATGGAATTTAAAAGTGGAAAAAAATCATGCTGATGGAAACATTGAACTTGACCTTAGGGCTAAAAGTGAAGCGCTCCTATGGTCAAATTTCATAGGAGTTTAGAAATAAGGACTCATCAGTTAATTGGAAAGCCAAGTTTGAAAAGCAAAATATATGAAAATAACTTTAGTGCAGATGCAAGCAAGCATATAAGGATACTGCCTTGGTACTTGGATCGAGGGTAATATATATCCTCGCATTTGGGGCAGTATATCTTTACAGTGCTTGAACGAGGAATGTCTGATTGACCAACTGGAAGGCAGGGTTGTCCACAGCAGTAAACTCTTGGGCATCGTCCAAAGTCATAGTTTTTGTACTTCTCCAACTGTAGAACTTTTAAGGTCAATATTCTAACAAAACAATATATAATAGAAAAAAAAATTGCAAAGATAAAATAAATCAGAATCTTACCATTGCAGACATTCCTTTAGTAGTCAGTATGTATCGAACATGAATAAGACCATATAGCATCTCGGCTGCTGATTCAACCAACTCATTCTGTTCTTCAGTGAACATATCACCTGGACAAAATCCGCATGTATTATGTGCCTCAATGATAAAAGACCAACAAAGCACACTCAGGGCAGAGAACTGGCCCTCTGATATATTTATTTCATCATAATCAGTACCACTATTTTAATAAAATTGTCTTTAACCTTAGAAAACAATCATTAAATTTTGGCGAAATATAAAGTATGCAATATCCCACTCAAATTGAAAATAAATAGTAACAATAACAAAGAACTAAAGACTATTTTTAGTTCTAACAACCACAATAAAAGCTAATCTAAAAAACTTTATTTCTCACTTTGAGTGCTAAATGCAAAACCAAATCAAGAAAATAAGAGTGTGATACCATTTAATCTAAATTTTAATATTTCAATTTCATAATTGATTTAGGTTATATTTCACCGAATGTGCCAGCACACATTCTGCAGTTCTTACATTCAGCATACTCACAAACTATGTTCATGAGTTTAATATCAATCCGTACTCTCCTAGACTATTGTACTCATACTCAACTCACCAGTATAACTGTACCAATTTCTTTTCAATGGAACATAAGTAAAACCCTCTTGCATACAAGAACCTCTCCAATCAACTAAATTACAAACGCAAACCCCCTTCTCATTTAACATATTTCCTGTGGCTTGTCTCAAAATCAATTTCTATATTTCAACCACACAACTGTATTCTTTTTTATCTTCTTTGGTTACACGCAATTGTATTCTTTGTTTCTTATAAATACTGTTTGAGAAATTAAAAGATAAAGTAAAACTAAAACTAACCATTTTAAGAAGTGCCAAGTAATGCTTGTGCATGGAGCATAGGTTACGTTCCATCAAAAACTAAAAAAATTTCACCCCAATGAAACTTTCTAAAAGACAGTGGCCTAACTTAACAATCAAATAGCATTCAATTGTCATAAATTTTATTTCAAGAGTAATGTAAAGGAAGGACACCAATACCATCATATGGGCTCAGTTAAGTTGGCTAAAGCAAATATACTCTCCACTTTGCACCTGAGTTCGAATTCACCTCCCTGTAATTTAGGTTAGATTAAAATAAAATATCACTTATATAAAAAATATAAAAAATAAAAAAAACCCAAAAAACTCCAATGATTCAACAAGCTCAACTCATTGATTTTGAAGGTTTTTAGGAACCCAAATTTGAAGAACAGAGCTGGTTGGTTTGACCCAAGACATGAAACATGGACGGCCAGCTAGGGTTGATGGACAAAATGAATAGACATTTGTTTGGTCAAGACTTCGAAATAATGGTGCTATCTAACTAAAATTAAAGTGTGTGTATGTAAAGTAATAGGTTCATGAATTTCAAAATTGTGTGGAAGACGAGTCTTTGGGGTCACATAATAATCAAATCATTGAATGGTTTCATTTCTTGATGAACAAGTTATAGGATATGTTGTAGTCAAAAAGATCCAAAGACAAGTTCGTTTAGGTATGCCGACAGAATCTTATAGAGGGCATTTTTCAAGCATAGCAACATTCCCTTCTATATTTTCTTTTTTTTTTTTCTTCTTCTTTGTTAAGGTTTTGAATTGGACTTTGGAGATGGAAGTTGATGGTAATTAATCTAACTTGACGGCGTGCCGAAAAACAGTAATGATGTTGTCATGTTGATCAATTATTTACCCCAGAGCATAAATAAAACTATTATTGGGAATTTAATACTTTTTTCTCACAGCATGGAAAATCATTTATAAGGCATTTGCTTCTTTACAACTTATCATTGTTGTAAACTTAAGATACCAATTTAATGCAAGGGTATTATTGAAAAATTGAGCAACTTTTGATTCTTATTACTACGTAACGTAAATCAAATATGAAAAATGAGAAAAGTGATATTTCATACATACCATTTTTCAGCGTTTTCAAACACTGGAATAGGTACATTCTCATCTTCCAAAAACAAGCATGAAAGTTTCATTCATGACATGGGAGTTGAGAATGAAAAATGTTCGTTCCAATGTTTGGAAACTGGTATGCATGAAATATCAGAAGTTACACATCCAATAAGGTGTGATTGTGAAAGTTTTCTCTTTATCTACAAGCGGCAATTCAAAAGGTCTCCTAATAAGAATATGAAAAAGAACTGGAGAGCCGTCCTACTTATATAGCTTGGGGCCATAATCATATTTTACATATATCAAATTAAACTTTTAGAAGCCCACTAGACCTAGAGAACCAAAGTGGCATAGCTGAATTCCCAACAATATTTTGACCATTTCGATATCGCCGCAAAGTTAGATTGTTCCAAAGTTGGTCATATAATTATTCTATTCTAATATATTATCGAGAGACGAAAAAACATGAAAAATAAAGTCGAATCAAAGAGAATACTCAATTGCTTTGTTATCCTTGCCACAATCCGTGAATGTCCATCTCCCAGTCTCAAAGTCCTAAGGGTCCCGTTTGGATGGAAGTATTGGGAAGAAAAAAAAAAGGATTTGACAATAAAGCTAAATTTGCTAAAGAAAATATGAAATTATTATATGCAACACGTCATTTGGAATTCGTTTGTTTTGTTTCATTTTATTTATTTATTCAAATCTTGACATACATGAAGTGCAAGAAGCCGAATAAATAATTCGAGCTTATAATCTCATCTAAATCCCTAGATTTGGAATGCCTGATAAGAAGGAAGTGCCATTGCGAAGCACAAGCACAGATGTTTCTGGGAATGTTTGAATGTTTTTCCAATTAGATGCCTCTAATTTTATATTTTTCTTTGTTTGTTAAACCGCGCGGGCCAAGCCCAACAAAACAAGAAATTAGCAAACAATGTCAAGAGCCAAGGCTCGGCTTAATGTATCATCCTCCAAAATACGCAGTCGAAGCACACAGATGACAGATGCCCCAAATTTGCCATATGACACACAAGTTTAAAACAGCTTTGACAATCGCTACTTGTTTTATTATTATTATTATTATTATTATTATTATTTTATTTTTTTGTTACATTGGAGTTCGAACCGTGTTTGAACTGGGGTGCCATGGGGAAGAGGAAAGCTACCACCACTGTGGAGAAGCTACCACCCTGTGGTGGGAACCCATTGGCAATTTTTTTCAGTCGGGCATCTGCAATAAAATTTTGCTTTCAATTAAGGAGAAAATGAAAAGGCAATTAATTTAGACAGAAATGTCATGTAAAGCACACGCCAGACAGTAAATCAAGGGTAAATTGTAATTTTACCCCAACTTTAGAAATTGACATTTTCAAAGTGAAAACGTAATATGCTTTGATTATAAATGAAATCCAATCCAACTACAGAGTCCTAACGGAAAGTAGATTTAACTTAAAAAGTATTACCATTCTTGGCATTACATCCCTCAAGCAAATGATAGTAGTACATTACATATATGAACAGGAAAGCTGTGGTCAAGGGGCATAAAGATCGGAGCATGATTTATCATAGTAAAAGGAATGATAAACAGGAACTGAAAATGAAAAGCACATTAATCTCAATAAAGAAAATGAAATCATCTTACAAGCGCTCTGTTAATCTCAAGATTAAAATTCAAAGACAGATTTGCTCTGCTAATACGCCAATTTGCACTTTAAACATTTCCAATGGTAGATCACCCGTAGTACTTTCTGAGCTACTGCATTTTACCTCACTTTTTACAGCCAATCCATTCACCAATGGAGTCATGAGGCATCACAAAAATCCGAGGCTGGTCAATACAAGATCTCATCACAAGTTTAGCCGTTTGCATTGTGGTTACGGCTTGTGGAGCTTGAAGCCAAAAACTCTTGGAACATAACTCTGCGTCGCCTTTTGTGGCTTAAGGTGCCCATATGTCATTAAGAATAGGTGTGGAAATGTGGTTCCAAAATAAGCCCCATCAATATCTTCAAATGTCAAGGAATTGGAATATAAAATCAGAATGCCAAACAAAACTAGAATATGGGAAAAAAAAGTAATGCATTTATGACCACCAATAGATATTCAAATGTCTGCAAACCCAGTGGTTAAATTTCCCCATATCCCATTCAATGATCAAACAAAATCAAATTTTGAATTCCTTGATCCTGATATTGGGCTTGCAAATGAAAGGTCTATTCTTGATCAGCTTAGGCACAGTTCCATACAAGACATCTTTCTTTTTTTTGAAGAGAAACGATACCCATACAAGACATCATCATACCACAGCCCAGCCTAATCTTGAAGTCCTGATTGCTACAGTCACACTAATCCTCATGCCAACGGCAACACCAGAATCTAACTGCTGAAAATTTCTAAGACTATGAGGGCAACATCCTAGACTCTGTCAAATGGAATTTAAAAGTGGAAAAAAATCATGCTGATGGAAACATTGAACTTGACCTTAGGGCTAAAAGTGAAGCGCTCCTATGGTCAAATTTCATAGGAGTTTAGAAATAAGGACTCATCAGTTAATTGGAAAGCCAAGTTTGAAAAGCAAAATATATGAAAATAACTTTAGTGCAGATGCAAGCAAGCATATAAGGATACTGCCTTGGTACTTGGATCGAGGGTAATATATATCCTCGCATTTGGGGCAGTATATCTTTACAGTGCTTGAACGAGGAATGTCTGATTGACCAACTGGAAGGCAGGGTTGTCCACAGCAGTAAACTCTTGGGCATCGTCCAAAGTCATAGTTTTTGTACTTCTCCAACTGTAGAACTTTTAAGGTCAATATTCTAACAAAACAATATATAATAGAAAAAAAAATTGCAAAGATAAAATAAATCAGAATCTTACCATTGCAGACATTCCTTTAGTAGTCAGTATGTATCGAACATGAATAAGACCATATAGCATCTCGGCTGCTGATTCAACCAACTCATTCTGTTCTTCAGTGAACATATCACCTGGACAAAATCCGCATGTATTATGTGCCTCAATGATAAAAGACCAACAAAGCACACTCAGGGCAGAGAACTGGCCCTCTGATATATTTATTTCATCATAATCAGTACCACTATTTTAATAAAATTGTCTTTAACCTTAGAAAACAATCATTAAATTTTGGCGAAATATAAAGTATGCAATATCCCACTCAAATTGAAAATAAATAGTAACAATAACAAAGAACTAAAGACTATTTTTAGTTCTAACAACCACAATAAAAGCTAATCTAAAAAACTTTATTTCTCACTTTGAGTGCTAAATGCAAAACCAAATCAAGAAAATAAGAGTGTGATACCATTTAATCTAAATTTTAATATTTCAATTTCATAATTGATTTAGGTTATATTTCACCGAATGTGCCAGCACACATTCTGCAGTTCTTACATTCAGCATACTCACAAACTATGTTCATGAGTTTAATATCAATCCGTACTCTCCTAGACTATTGTACTCATACTCAACTCACCAGTATAACTGTACCAATTTCTTTTCAATGGAACATAAGTAAAACCCTCTTGCATACAAGAACCTCTCCAATCAACTAAATTACAAACGCAAACCCCCTTCTCATTTAACATATTTCCTGTGGCTTGTCTCAAAATCAATTTCTATATTTCAACCACACAACTGTATTCTTTTTTATCTTCTTTGGTTACACGCAATTGTATTCTTTGTTTCTTATAAATACTGTTTGAGAAATTAAAAGATAAAGTAAAACTAAAACTAACCATTTTAAGAAGTGCCAAGTAATGCTTGTGCATGGAGCATAGGTTACGTTCCATCAAAAACTAAAAAAATTTCACCCCAATGAAACTTTCTAAAAGACAGTGGCCTAACTTAACAATCAAATAGCATTCAATTGTCATAAATTTTATTTCAAGAGTAATGTAAAGGAAAAATGGTTCGAATAAAAAATATGTATACGTCACTTTAAGATTCACAAACTAAAAACTCCATTAGCATAGAAAAATTCTTACCATGAGAAGATTCAACATCCAAAATCAGATCAAGTGCGTAATCATAATATGGAACTTGACTGCTCAAACCACAGAGATTAAAATCATCTTGGATGTATTCATCATCAACTTCACAAAAAAATTCATTTCCTCGCAAATTGCAGAACCATGAAATCCATGATGTGTCATCTCCATCAGAACCACTGACGTCTGATTCTTCACTGTCTGTTTCAGATTCCTCTGCATTGAAAGCAAACCATGTAAGAATGAGAGTGCATTTTCTAATCCAAGTCTTCAAGATAGATTTTTGTGTCTTTTTCTACAACTTTAGTGCTCATGAATTATTCATACTGTAACAAAAAGTAAAATTACACAAGTGTGAAAGACTGGATTTGGGAAAAATTAAAATTGGAAATTGTTACTTAGAACGGCTAAGAATCCTCAACAAAATAAGCAAAAGAGAGAACTTTCAACTTTGCCAATATCTGAGTCCTAAAAAAAGGGTTTTGCGATTAAAAAACAAAAACAGCATACACGGAGCGAACCCAGATCATATAACAAATTTTCTCTGACATAAATGACAAGAAAATGAGTTACCAATTATTCATAAACAACAAATTCAATAAATAAATAAAAACAAAACAATGAGAGAGAAAAATAAAATGAGACCAACCATCAGAGCATTTGTTCTTGGTGAGCGAGGCGGCAGCGGCAGCGGCAACACGATGATCGAGCTGAGATTTACCAGTGGAAGTGGAGGGCACAGAGAGCCTCTCTTTATCTTTACTATTAGCCAAAGCTCTCGATGTGGATGGGGAGGACTTCTCTAGGTGCTTGTCCAGCGCATCATTGATGCGCTTGCGGTCGAGCGGCCCACCAACAATCTCCGTTTTCGACGACCCACCACCTCCACGTTCCCTATACATGGTCTAATTTCGAACCCCTTTTGGGTAAATTTTGGCTCTTGGATTTGGAGCAAGAGAGAAGAGTGTCAAGCTCTGTGCTGGCCATCCATGGTGTGTTAGAGAGTTTGAATAAAACCCTAGATTTTTGAAAGGGGGATAAAGGGAGGTACTTTTGAGGTCCTGAGGATCGGAGCGGAGAGAGATCGAAGATTGGAGAGAGAGAGAGAGCTAGGGTTTGGTGGAGGGAGAGATGGGGCGAGAGGTACACGAGCTGTTGAGCAAAATGCTCTTAGGTTCCCTCTGTCTCTTCTTTGTTTTCTTGTCCTTGGTGTCTTACCCTTCTTCTTTTTAAAATTTTTTTCTCTATCTTATTTTCTAGGGGTGGGTATGGTCAGTTTGGTTCGGTTCGGTTCTAAAACTAAAACTTTACATTGGGTTTTATTTGGTTCGGTTTTCATATAAAAATGTCTAGAGGAGTCAAATCAACTGGACCCTATATGGTTCCTATTCGGTTTAGACGATTTTCGATTTGGAATAAGATAAAAAGGTGAAGAAGACATAAATAGTGAATAGATAGAAAGAAGGATGCACAATAAGAAGTACAGTTAGGATTCACCGAAAAGAAAAAGGTCATGGTAGAGCTATTATTTAGTTGGATATAAGTTGGAACTGGGTTTGAGATTGTTGTCACTTTTTTAAAAAGTTTCTTCTGTTGTGCTTTGAAAATAATAAATTATAAAGTAAAGCAGTTCTATATTTGATAAACAATATTTTTAAAGTAATGTGTGTATAAAAAGCAATGTCAATCTATTTGGTAAATTTTAATATAAAAGTATTGTAGTTGTAGATGATGACTAAAATGAGCATGATGTTCAAAGTCGTATGTGATGAAAGTGGAGGTGATGGTGATGAAGGTGGAGGTGGAGGTGAAGTGGTCGTGGTGGTGGTGATGGAGGTAGAGGTTGTGACAGTGGTCGTGGTGATGATGGAGGTGCGTATGGGGTTGGTGGAGGTGGGGTTGGTAGTGGTGGTGGTGGTGGTGGTGGTGGTGGTGGTGGTGGTGGTGGTGATGAAGGTGGTGGTGGGAGATAGTTTGAGAGAACTACATGGAAAAGGTAGACGATGTCATTTTTAAAAATTAATGATGGTATTACGGGAATTGAATTTTTTTTAATTAAAGGCTATTCTCCGCTTCTTGTGATAGTAGCTTTCAAAAGGATCCTAGAAGCTTCATTTAAAAGCTGTTGTTAGGAAGCCGTTGCTTTAAAAATAATTTGGATGTTTTGTTTTACTAAACACTTTAAACTGCTTAACTTTTCCATGAAGCAAATTTTGATGAAAAAGAACTGGGAAATGAAAATGAATCTTTCATTTCCCATTTCTTGGAAAAGGACACAGAAAATGATTTCCTATCAAATTATTTTCACAAACCAAAAGGAGCCCTAGAATTGTTCACACCCTCTCACAAACATCTTCGATCTCTTCTTCAGTTAGAAGAAGAACTTTGTCGAAGGAAGTCATAACCTCCTCCATTGCACTCTACCACTCTCAACTCCAAACCCCCAAATAGCCTACCAATTTGGAAATGATGCAATTTAGGAGGGACCTCCTAGAAATGACTATAGAAGGAAATTCATAAGAAGATACAAGTTGCTCATGAGTTTTACGAGCACGTATACCAGCAATCAAGCTTGATTCATTTTTTCTAATGAGCCTAATATTATTTTTGAGCTGAGCTCGTTTCTCTTACAAACCAAGGTATTAATTGAACCCAAAAATATACCAAATGCGAGCCTTCCACTCACCTATGGCTGACATTTTTTTACCGAGAAACCGCAAAATACTATTATAATTAAATAGTATAGTCATGCAACTATACTGAAGTTTTTAATATATTTTTTTTAATAAATAGCATAGCCATGCGGATATATGCTTTAAATATAATATAATTAAATATTATGGTTGTGCTGCTATATTTCAGTTTTTTGAAAAGTTTTTAGTATAGCCGAGCGGCTATACTTGGGTTTTTTTTAATAAATTGTATAGCCGTGTTTCTATGCTTGGTTCTTTATTTTTTTTTATTTTTTTTTTCCTTGAATTTCATTTATCGATAAGAGTAGTTTAGAAAATACACATTTTAAAAAAAAGCAAATGTAACAGTACATGTACGTACGTATGTTTCATGTCTAATACAAGTGTTTTTTTAAACAAAATTTTTCAATTTCAAACAAAGATTTATGGGTATGGTAGTAAGAGAGAATGTAGTATTCTTCATGTAAAGTGTTGTTTGAAAAGTGAAGCTTAAGCAAAAGCATGTCATGTCCTAAAATCCTATGTGCCATGTCAAATACCAAATGCTTCTCTAAACGTCTTTAATAGATGAATGCATCCCTCTACGTATAAAATAGAGTGATGTTAAACGAATCCTAAAATTACATGAGTACATCTTACTATCACACTATTTTATTGAATTGTGAAATAAATGTAATTTTAATAAATACACCTTACTAACGGGGATCCCCTGCTTGTTTTTTCTCGATATGCTTGACTTTTCTTTTAAGCATGCCACATCATTTACACACCATCTAAAACATGACACCACATATTTTTTTCCTACACTTCTCCATCCTAGCATTTGGATAGCCGAACTCTTTTCTCTCTCGAAATTAAGCCCAGCAGAACCTCTTCTCTTGTCAATCACTCTTCTTCTCCAAACTTATAATTTTTTCATTTTTCTCATCTTTCAATTCAGGAAATTTCCTATAATATTGAAGCCCCTTGTAAAAACTTGTTTTCTCCAATTTCCCTCCACAAAAGTAGCCACGCGAATCATATTGGGGCTTATATCAGCAAGCAAGGCTATTAGGGTTTTTTTTTTTTCGGTCATGAATTGAAGATTTCATTGAAAAAAGGACAGAGATTGCAGATAGGCTAACCCATAGTAGGCAGCAAAAAAGATAAATACAACCAGATGAAACCTAAAACTAAAAAAACATGGCTGAGAAGGGAATAAAACTAGGACAATGCAGCATCATACACGTCAACCCCTCCAACCTTGTCAACCCCTGGCTGAGAAGGCAATCAGAGTTGTTTTTCAGTTTTAGATATTGGATTTAGAAAAGAAAAAAATAATTTAAAATCAGAAAGAGAAAAATAAAATCAGACGGCATGAAATACTGTGCTTCTTGGGAAAAAAATTTAAAACTCCGAAGCTTCAAATTTGGGTATTTTAATAAGAGTGATTCCCTTACTTAGTATTACTAATTATTTGATTTAGGATCAATATCAAAGAATTCCGTTGAACGTTTTTGTATCATTAGTTAGATTTAGGATATATAAAAAAGAACAATATTGTCCATATTGTACAGTTAAAAACTTTGAGAATCAAAGTATGGAGAAAAAGGGACCGTGAGGAGATCGAGGAATGTTGTTGTTGTTGTTGTTGTTTTTTTTTTTTTTTTTTTTTTTTTAATTATTCTCATTTTGGTGTGTGTGTGGAGAAATAGAGTGTACCATGGTATTTTTGGTAGTTAAATAGGGATCGCATTTTCACCTCAACGAAACCGGCATGTCGGGAAAACCTAGGGGTGGCATTTTAAACCGAAAAACTGAAAAACCGCAA